CACTTAATGAACCAACCATAGATTATGGCTTTCAGAGGTTGCAGAAAGTTATTCCACGACATCCAGGTGATCCCGAAAGGTTACCAAAGGTTAGTAAAGAGTCAAAAAGCATTTGTTTTTTCTAATTTAATAGACGTTGCTAAGCGATGCCATATACTCCTTATCACTTGTAAAATAACACCACGTAAGAACTCTGGTTAACGTACCAACTTCTTAGGTAGGTATGTCAGGCTACGAACTCAAGCAACCGTAGTTCTTAAATTTGACCCATTTTCCCCATTGAGTCTTTGCCATTAAGTTAATCGACAATTTTTAAGATCGCGTCTGATACTTGCAAGAGAGTATTTTAAAGAAGGAGAATGGATTTTCTGATACAAATATTTTGGATTCTGCAAGAGGGACATAAACTTCCTGCGTAATGAAATAGTTCAATTAAACATTTTCCACTCCAGTAGCTTGTAGTGATTTCAATCTAAGCAGCCCCACTCTGATCTGTGATTATTTGACTCTTGTTTTCCTTTCATTTTCTAAAGCTCGATTCAGTTTAATCTTTTGTTTACAAAGCTTTTGTTATAAGTCCCTGACTTAGCAGGCTAACAAATGAAGTCCACATATTAATATCTAGAGGGACTTTTCATTTAAATTCAACAAAGACAAAAGCTGCCTGTGTTGTTTATGCACATGACACATATCACAGAAATTTCATTTTGATGTAAAACATTAAAGATAAGTCATGCTTATAATTTTTCCTTTTCTTTGATATAATATTGTCTTTTTTTCCTTTAGTGCAATCTCTGATTTTCAAGGCAAACTTAAAAATACAAATGAAAAATGAAGTCGTAACATTATGACTGATTATTTTGTATTCTGTTCCTGTGTGCATCAAGTCTTGACCACCTCTGAGTTTTATTAACACAATAAAACCTTTTAGACATTACCTTTTAATGCTCAGCGTGAACATAAGCAATATCATTAGGTTTCTCTTTTAATTTGTGAGCGTGCCAGCAACTCATATCAGATATTCACTGTCACAATAATTGGAGAGCGAATGAAAGATTTTTCAAATGCGGGGCGTTTCACTGAGGGGTTTTTGTTCCTGCGGGTTGAGCTCCAGCGGAACAAGTTTTACCTCCAGAAGAACCGGAGCCATCAATATCATTACCCACAGGGCTTTTGCTGCCAGCATTTCAGTCTCTGGATTGATATACGTATTAATGATTTCGCTGCTTCTTGGCTTTCCATATATGAATGTTGTTATCACCCTCGGTATAAAAGTCAATGTAAATGTGCAGCCATTTCCATTAGGAACCTTACGAAAAGAAATTCATGGGAGATTTGTGACGGTCTGCTTAAAATATCGCTATTTTTTGAATTTGGGAGGACATTTTAGAAAGAACTGTCGAGAAAGCCTCGGTCCTGCAAAGGCTTAGCCGCACATCTGAATTTTTTAACACATGCAAGTGAGCAGTCATTCTGAATCAACAGATCCATACATGTGCATAAAGTTAAGCATGCCTTTGGAGGATTGGAGCCTGAGACTTGTTACATCGGATTTTTTTGGTAGGCGAGGAATTTAAAACAATCTCTTTCACTCAGATGGGTTCAGC